CGGCAGCCTCGCCTCTGTCAGTGCGCCCCAGGGTGGCTGTACAATGTAGCTTACCATCACCAGTGTGTGAATGAATGGGTGGATGACTGGTTGTGTAAAGCGCTTTGGGGTCCTTAGGGACTAGTAAAGCGCTATACAAATACAGGCCATTTACCATCCACCTAAATAGTCAAGAGACTTATTGTTGCTTGTAATGTGACACTAAAACTTGAATAATTAAACTTTTGTTGTTCTGTTGCAGATGTAACGAAGGACGTATTGGGCGCGAATGTGAGTGCAGCAAAGACGAAGTCCGGTCAGACGACCTGGATGCTAACTGCAGAAAACCCAACAGTACAGATATCTGTAGCAACAATGGCGAGTGTCTCTGTGGCACCTGCGAATGTAAGAAGCGGGAGAATCCTGCAGAAGTCTACAGTGGCAAGTACTGCGAGTGCGACAACTTCAACTGCGACCGCTCTGGCAACTTGCTCTGCGGAGGTAAGGGTTACTGAAGTAAACGCATTTGAAAGTATGATTGATTTAACTCCACACTGAATGCGTTTGATGCCTGTGCTCCATTAGGACACGGACGCTGCGAATGCAGGAAGTGCATCTGTGACACCAACTACACAGGCAATGCCTGCGAATGTTCCCTGGATGAATCCACCTGCCTTGCCAAGAACGGGCAGCTCTGTAATGGCCGCGGTAAATGCGAGTGTGGAATCTGCAAATGCGAAGACCCCAAATTCCAGGGTCCGACATGCGAGGTCTGTCCGACCTGCCCCGGCGTCTGCACTGAGCACAAGTGAGTGTGAAGCGTTCATCTTCGGTCGGAGAAACAACATATAGAAATCTAAAAATGTAAAGTCTGTTTTAACATGGAAGCTTAGACGTTGTATGCCAAACTGAGTCGTGTGATTTATGATTACATTCTAGTTAAAAGCCAAAAGATTTATCTTTGATTTTTAACTAGAGTTTCATAACAAATCATCTCAGAGACTAATGACTATGAATTATTATAAAACTTATTTGATACACATTACAAAACAATTCAAGGAACACTTAAAAAAACACATCAGGCAGTTTACAGGACGCCAACAAGGTTCTGCCTGGGTCCTTGTCACTGGGAGCCTTTGGGTGTTTTCCCAGTAATTTCATGAAATCTTCCAGGTACCTGCGTTTCCTCCCAGAGACGTGCTTGTGATTCTAAATTAGATGATGTGCTTGCAGTGCATAGAATAAGCCT